ATTTTACCACATTTACTGACTATAATGTTATTATTATCAAATATGTTTTGTGTTTTAACTTTCCTTTAATATTTTAAAAGCTTAGAGTCTTTCTGTCGAGATTCTCTCACATACCATATTATGAATAACACACATAAGCAACCTAAACATCTTGGAAATGAGTTGATGCTCTGATATCTAACTAAATGTACATATAATTTGGTGATTGGAACTAGATGTTTCTATCTGTTGTATAGGTTCTCTTTAATCATCTTTTAAGGTGTCCGTACACACTGTTTGGTACAATGAGACTAAATATACATGATTAAGTTGTATAGTTTTAGAACAATTGAGCATACAAAGCGACACCACAAGTCTTTCATCATGTCATTTGAATTATTTGGTGCAGATTATCTTCTAAAAGCTAGCAGATAAACTTTTGGACCTTTTTATCAGGTTAAATATGACTATTGCTTTAAAACTTAGTTGTCCTGTCAGGATACAATACCCTTCTTTTTCTTCCTCCCCACTGACCCCAAACACCTGCCCCGGCACTTCTCCCAAAATAGAAAACCAGCACATGAGCTTGATGCCCAAACAGTTCTCCATACAGTCAACTCCACATTTTTTCCATGTTTACTTCCAGCTGAAAAGATAACTGTGTCTGAAAGAAGTGTAGAAACAAGATATAATCCATCAGAGTAATGGAGACAGTTGTAGTTCTCAAGAATGCCACCTTCAATGCAAAACTTGAAAATGGAGGAGTTTTTTTGGATTATTTTGTGTCTGACGCATGAAGAAAGCCATCATGTTTTCCAAAGGAGTTGAAATTGCACATTTTAATATTTGATTTCAGAATGTGGGAAATTCTGATAAGGCTGCCTTGCAACATTGATGCATTTTTGTGAACAGTGATGTTCTTGTTCCCTCAGTCATAGGGGATTCCAGGATCTTAATCAAATGATAACGATGAAATCGTGATAAGTGTCCGGGTCAGTATGGTGATTGATTTGGAGGAGGCCTTGGGGGTGATGATGCTTCCATTATCTTTCTGGTGCTCTCTGCCTTGATAGTGAATCATACAGTGATACACTAGATTACTGTTGTATGGGCACACCAGATTGCTGCACTGTGTGAACTACTGCTGATGACAAAGGTTGCTGCCACCATCCTCTTTAAGTGTAGGGACTACAGGGCATTCTTGTTCTGGTGTGGTAGAGGAAAATTACTTCTTGGAGTAAATGGAAGATTCTTTTGTCGTTAACAAGATATGTTTTATTGCGTGTTAGCAAGTTACAGGTCACAGTCATATGATAGACATTGTTACAGAGACTTTGAGGAGGCCCAGTGGTTAGGTTTCATTTGTTCAAGATCTTAAGCTGTTCTGCCCACAAAACAATATGATACCATTATAATGGATGGTACATATAGCTCTCCGCAGCATTAACTCTTTCAGATCCAAGTACAAAGTGAAACGTTATTGTAGTTACTTTAGTAAATGTCTAGTTTAGCCACAGAACACTAAAGCAAATTGGTATTTGCTGAGTCCAGTGATACTGATCAAGTGGATGGTTTCAGGCTGTGGTAGCAACTCTCAAGTGATTAGTGAATATTTCATTATAATCCTGACTGGAATCTGGTGATTGTTCAAGAAGCTCTGACGTAGGCAGTTAAGTAATTTTTATCTGTCATCCACCCAGTTCTTGCACTGTTATCATTTCTACTTAAAGTTCCTTAGATGCTAATAATCCATCCAGTGTTGATGGGGTTTCTATGATGGCTGTGTCATTGAAGGTCAGGGGAATGTGTTTGAGCTTTTCCTCATTGTTGGATGGTTAATACCCAGAACTTATTGGTATATGTTGTAGATCTTGTCTTCCATATGACAGTCAAAGCCTGTTTATCTAATCTGATTGAGGATAATCAGTAAGGGTTTTTGAATGAGAGATGGTGTTTGACAAACTTGTTGGAGTTTTTGAAGTTGTGCTAACAAAATTGATAAAGGAGGTGCCAATGGACATAATATACTTAAATTTTTGGAAAGCTTTTGATCTAGAAAGCTAGAGAGGCCTGTTTTTAAAAAAAAAAAAAAAAAAATTATATTGCGCGGAATACACAGTAGTGCTCTGGCATGGATTAATGATTGGCTAACTGATAGAAAACAGAAGGAATAAATGGTCACTCTTGCATTGACAGGGTGTGTCCAGTGGCTACCACGAGGAACAATACTTTAGCTGTTCACTGTAGGGACCAAATGTAATATTTCCAAATTTGTGGATGATGTAAAGTTAAGTGGGAATGTGTGATTGTGAGGAAGATGTAAAGTGGCTACAGGAAAGCTAAGTCAGGTTTGGTAAATGGGCAAGATCATGGCAGATGAACTATAATGTGGAAAAATGTGAGGTTATCTTCTTTGGTAGAAGAAGCAGATGTGGAGAATATTTCCTATATGGTAAGAGTTGGAAAGTGTAAATTATAAGGGGACCCAGCTTGTCTTGTCAATAAGTCACTGAATGCTAATATACAGGTGCAACAAGCTATCAGCAAGGCTAATAGAATGATAAGCATTGATACAAGATGATTTGAGTACAGGATTAGTGAAATCTTGCTTCATTTGTACAGGAATAGACTATACCTGACATAGCATGTGTAGTTTTGATCTTGTCATCTCAGGAAAGATACTATTGCCATAGAGGGAGTACAACAAATGTTTTCGAGGATGGTGGAACTGTCCAAAAAAGAGAAATTGGGAAAACTGAACTCTTAATGTCTGGAGTTTTGAAGAATGAGAGGTGATCTCAAAGAAACTTAAAATTCTTGAAGTGACAGAAATAGTAGATGCAGATAAGCTGTTTCTGTGGCTGCTCCCAACCTCCCATGGAATATAGCTCTTACTAAAGAATCTGACAAAATCTGGACCTGAATGATGCTGGTAGAAACCAAACTGAGCATCAGTGGGCGCATTTTTGGTGCGGAGGCATCAAATGATGGATCCATCCATTAGTTTGCTGGTAACAGGGCAATAGTTGATTTGGTTTAGATTTGTACTGCATTCTGTGAGAAAGACATCCTTGGGAAATTTTTCACATTGTACAGATGATAGTGCCACAGCTGCACTGAAATAGTTTTGGCTAGAGCTTTTACTCATTCAAACAAGTGCCATGACCAGAATTATGAGAAGACACTTTAATCATCCTGTATGGAACTCACTAACACTTCGTATTATTATGTCTTGTTATGTGAATAAAAATACTTTGTTATTAGCATCTATGATAATGTGGCATTGTCTACTTTGTACTTCAGTGGAAGATGTTTGGAAATGCTTCAAAAATGGGAAAAAGAAAGGATATTCTAAATATTATCTCATACTGAAATGAGCAGGGATCTAACATTTGGAATGATGAATTGTTTGAATATCCTCTTCCCTAGTTCTTCTCTAATTGTCTACCACTGTTCTTGACTGGGTGTGGTTCCACTACAGAACTTTAATTGATTTACCTGTGATTGACTAGCTCTACCTGTCTGGCCTTTCCTTTTTCTCTTTCCAGAGCTCTATTTTGGAGCTTCATCGATATATGGTATCCTGTTCTAAGATGTAGCTGTTACTGTTCTGGGAATATTTACTGCCCTCTTATTTACACCAAGGTTGGACCTTAACTTGATAGTGACATGTCATGAAGTTACAGATTGTGGTGGTATATAATACTGTTAAAGAGTGAAGGTGCCTCATAGACATCTGAATAGACAACTGAATTTATCCTTAGCTTGTCACAGTAAAAGTATGATGAAAGGTTTGCCTGCTGTGAAACTAAGACTCTTTTCAAGTACTGTGTAATGGTCATTCCTATCGATGTTGTTGTGCACAAAAATGTCTAAGATATGTCAATTAGTAAGCATGGGATCAAGTAGATCAAGCCTGTGTTGGTTCCCCTTGGAAGCTCAATTTTACAACTATTTCTTTAAGAATTTGCCCAGTTTAAAAAGCGGTAGTACTATGAGCAATATATGTTGGTGGACATTGAAACCCTATATTCAGATTAACTTTTACGGCCTTGCTGGTGCTTCCTCTTAAATGTGTTTAGCAAGAGCAGTTAATCAATGATTAATGGGTCTGCTTTTTTTTCATTCATCCATGGGATGTGGGCATCACTGGCTGGGCCAGTATTTGTTGCCCATCCTTAATTGTTAAGAGTCCACCATATTGCTGTGGATCTGGAGTCACATGTAGGTCAGACCAGGTAAGGATGGCAGATTTCATTCCCTAAAGGACATTAGTGAACCAGATGGGTTTTTCCTGACAATTGACAATAGTTTCATGGTTATCATTAGACTCTTAATTCCCGATTATTAATGAATTCAAATCCCACCATCTGCCATGGTGGGATTCGAACCCAGGTCCCCTGAACATTACCTGGGTCTCTGGATTAATAGTTTAGCAATAATACCACTCGGCCATCACCTCCCACTAGCATGGTATATGCTTTGATCTGAAGTCATAAGATTTGATGGGAGATCTATATTAATATTAAAAATGCCAACCAAATCCACATGAATGAGTTTGTACTCTCTCCTAGTAGAATACAGTTTAGGACAGAGATGGCAATAGAATCCAGATTATGGTTGGTAGATATGATTGAGTATGATTATTGATCTGGCATTAGCCCTTGAAATTCATGAAGAGAATTTGCAGGGTGACAAAGGTTGAATTATCTGAGCATTGTCCTGATCCAATACCTGTTTATTGGTCCATTTAATGGTTTGTTTATTATTTCATCGTGCAGTGATTTTTTTTTTTTACAGCTGAATAATCAGATGGAGATTTTCATTTCAACAGGATATCAAACGTTGAACAGAAATAACGATATTGAAGTCACATGGCCTGTGGGAGGACAGACAGCTATATTGGCCTGCATTAGTGAGCCAATTTCAATCAGTCAGCACATTTTGCTAATGTTTTGTGATACTAGACCATAAGTTGCTTAGCTTTGTTGAATTGTATATCATAACTTCCTATATTAGGGTCTGAACTCTCAAACTATGTGCATTGCTCGTACAAAATCATATATCATCTACATGAGCATAAGCAATTCTTGGTACACCATTTTACTTCATGTTTTGCATGAAGGTGGGACAGTAGCAACTCTGTGTTTAAAAAAAAAGCACAATACTGCCTGTTGGATTTATACCACAATTCACAACACTATTTTTTTAAGTCTATAATCTCAAAATTTAATGTTAAGTTGGTTCTCTGATCCATTTGATGAGAAAGTCATTTTAAAAATTGTGCAGTGTGTTATAATTTCTGTACACAAGCATGTTATTGTTTGCAGGTATTATCCAACCCTGGAATGGGTTCCATGACCGATACCTTATTGAAGATTACCTGGATCTGTTTGATCTGGCCGCTTATCAGATTCAGAGTCAGATAGCCAATGCTTCTGCTGAACAACCAATTAAAAGCAACATGGTCATTGGTGAGTTGCTTTATTCACCCACATTCTATTAAAATGTTTACTTCTGCTGTCAATAATGGTGTCACTCTAAATCACAGGTTGAGCATGTGTTATATGCGTGTTATAGTATGGCCAATAACAAATAATGAGCAACATTTGTATGGAAAAGTTTTCCAAAACACATATTTCAGAGGCAAGTTCAATTTTATATTTGCTGATGGAAGGTCTGATAGTTTACAGGAACAGTTCAGTCTTCGTTTGTAGCATGAATGCCTTAATTCTTTTGCAGCTGATCGTTTACTGGATTACCACATGAAAGTTATTCTAAGTAAAAGCAGCTGTTAAAATTTCGTTTGTCTGAATGTGAATTTTTAAAAAAGTATGTTTTGTTCCCTTTCTCCTCTTTATCTTTCTGACCTTGCACCAATCTAAGAGGGCAGGGAACAAATTTATTGTTAGATCTGTCATTACATTACTATCTTGGCAGAACTGAGATTTAATGGTGTATTGTATATTTGATCTGCATCCACTTAATTTCATTATTTATTGAAAAAAATATTGTATTTCTTTTTAGGTGAAGCAAGTGCTTCAACAATGTGGGATAATAATGCTTGGCAGAATTTTTATCATCGCACTGCTGATGGTGAACCACCATATTTAATTCAGGACTTCCTTCATGCAGTTCTGCCATCTGCTAAACTCATTGTTATGCTGAGGGACCCTGTTGAGAGGTTAGTTTCCAGCCTTTGTTCATTGCCTGGAGTTTTATTGTCAAATTGTTAAGAAACTTGAGGTCTTGCAAAGAGCTATACCTGTGCATTAATAACTGTTGCAAATTCTGATCACTGAATTTCCATGCTGTCTAATGTTTCTGCTACCCTGATGTCTTCATGTGTCATTCAACATTGCTGTGACTCAGCATATGGCGTAAATAGTAGGAAAAAATGAATATAGACTGAAATAGATTTTCTGTAATAGACATGCCATAAAAGTTTCAGTTCACTTTTGATGAAGTTGACCTTTTCAAGAACTAACTTCACACTTAAGCTACTACTTTGTTTAATTCAAGTGACTGAATCAGTACAAAAATAAATGCTTTATTAAGAGTAGGCTAAAAGATTCTGGAATAAATATATTTTGACCTGTTGTTACTTAAACTCCAAGTGCTGGGATTTAAAAGTGTTAGTGGATAAATGGAGCATGTGTACATGATATTGAATCTGAAATCCCATGCAACCTAAAGTCTGATTCTTTACGAAGCTGACTACTCTTGGTTGTGGCAATGTTGGGACCCTTGTAGCGAATCTCCATGTTTTGAGGGAGAGAAGGAAAATCGGACTGAGTTGATGCATCTGAATGAAGTCCAGTGAATTTTGGTAGGTTTGTGGATGTTGCATGAGGATCATATGGAGCTCTGCTATTAAATTCCCCAGTAAATTTTACTCCAATATTCAGGTTTTTTCTAACTTTTGGGCAAGGTATCTTTGGAATTCTATCCTAGAAAAACTCAGGGCCATCTGGAGGAATTGCATCATTGACAGTGGTTTGGAACAGTTAACAAGGCCAAACATTTTGGATTGCTATGGCAATTATTGCTGAAGTACTTTAGATGTAATAGCCTGTTTACATATTTTGAATTGAGTGAAGGCCAGAGCTGTGGTAGAAATTTGGCATTGAACTGACGGTGTGTAACCACTATATCTGGAACTGGCAAATCTGAGCTAGTTGTCTCTGAGGTTTATCCAAGTCAGTGGCTTGGCCCTGAAATAATGCTGTGGCACTGCTAGTGTTTCAGCTGCAGTCAACGTGGCAGCCAAAACTTAACGTATTTTTTGTGATGTGCAATTGAACTGCAGGTTTTGGAGGAAACTGGAGCCACTGTCTGTGGGCAGTTCAACCTGGCCAATGTAAGTGGGGCAAAAGGATATAATGCTCCTCTCCTGAAACAATGCCGTTGATGTAACAAAGGAGTAACTGTACTGAAAATCCAGTGTCTTTCTCATAGATATCCTAAGTTTCCATGTAGTACCAGCAGTGTTCAACATTATTAGCCAGATTAAACACAGTATCAGAAATACAAACGTCAGCATTCAAACTATATGGACCAGAAATGCAATTATTTGATTTTTTAAAAAAGTCTGTACTGATGAGATTTTCATGTTTTAAAAAGAAGTACCATTTTAATTAATTTCTGAAAGGAAGATTATCGTTCTGTTTATAATTGTGCATCCAATATTTCTGTTGTGACCCCAGTTTAATATATGAACATTGTTCCTTGCACATAATCTGTACTACCAGTTGCAAAATATTTTCTCACTTTACATTATTGTCCAAGATAGCCACTGATTAAAACATTTGTGTGGGTTTTCTTTATTCTTATGGTATTAACATTAAATATTTTTGTAAATATTTGCTATTAAGGTGAAGGTACTGTGCCTGCTTTTAAGGATAATTGTGCTATTTTGGCAATCAGTTGTTAGCATCATGATTGACAAGGTCATATATAAAGTGGTTAAGTGTCAAGTTTTTTTTCCACTCAGCTGTGTCACGGAATCTTTACTAAGCAATGTTCTTCAGTTGTACAACATTGGCACTTTCTGATTTTCAGTCCCAGTCATCTTTTTTTTCCAGTTGTTAATTGATGCTGAATGGTACGGCTGCCCCCTCAAGGAGCTGGCTATATGAAAAATCATTTGGAGTCTTAAAACACAAGCAAATGTTTTTCCAAGCTAGATATGTACCCATGTGTAAGAGAAGTCCAATTGCTAATGCATTGCTATATCCCATCCCACAATATAGTACTTTCCATTGATCCTAGAGGACCAGGACAATTTTTAAAAAAATCTTTGGAAACTGTGGTGTCAATTACTTGGGTAATGAAAAACTGGTGAGATACTGACTTGATTAGGGGATGAGGGTTTGGAGCAGTGAGAGATGGCCTTTTAGGTATCGTTAGTCTGTTGTAATTTGGACTAGATACGTGGGATGTGAATCTCCTTGAATCTTGCAGCATTATTGGGTCACAATTGAATGTAATAATATATGACTGGAGTAGAAGTACTCCAGGATCTGCTAAAGCTTATTGGGATTGCCCTTTAATGGGGTAGAAGGAGGAGATAATTACATCCACATGTGCTCGTACTACGCAGATATTGCATATCATTTTGGGACAGAGTAGATCATTTTCCATATAAATCCCACCAATACCTTCTCTCAAGAATGTTGACCAAGCAGTATAATCAGTTTACTGTGTACCAAAAGTTTCTTCATCAATTTGTGGTTCTGTTCCCTTTTTGTCTAATTTTTTTGAGTCATAGTTACATATAGTAATTCTTACTGAGTAATTCAAAAATATCTCTTTGGCAATTTTGATTCTTTCTGTTTTCTTCCTGCTATAATGTTCTGAAAAGTTAAGACTGGTAATAATTTGCTCCTTTGTCACCTAATCGCTGAGGGCCAACCAATTCTCAGTGTAAATGGATATACTCTCCAGAGGTAAAGGGTTTGGGCTGCCAGCTGAGAGCATGTGCACATTAAACACATGCGTGCGTACACACACACACACACACACACACACACACACACACACACACACACACACTCGTACCATTAAAGCTCAGCCATCATAAAGGAATATGACAAGATGTAAACCTGTCCATTAAGACCTTTCTTCATTATTTCTCATTAATCCTCTCCCTCAACCTTGAGATTTGTGCTCCTAGCAATGAATTCTGAAGGCCTTAATCAACCAAGCCTGAAAGGAATGTAAATTTAGTAATCTGCATTCGATTACTTTCTTTCAGCTATCCTGTAAGTCAGCTCTGTAGCTGTTAGGTCAGTTCCCTTGTGCTACCTGAATCAACACCCCTCTACGACCAGCTCCCTTAGCATATTTTGTTTTTCCGCTTCAATCCTTTCAAACAATCAGCAGATAGTGCAAAAACAACACTGGTTATATTTACTGGAGAAGTTAAAGGAAATACTAATAGTGAAACTTCAGTTTTGTTTCTCACTTTGAACCCACAAAGTACAAGCATTGCTTAAGTGAGATGTCAGTGGAACACATTAGCGATGTCAAATGAGTTGCATTTTTAAAGTTACGTCTAAAATTTGAAGTTTAGAAAGTTTATTACTTCATGCTTGAACCTACTAAATTGATCATTGTAACCACAGAAGAAATTAATGTTCTAAAATGTCATGTTGAGGAAAAACATTAATATGGAGGGAAGAAAACTAGCTCTTGTAGAAATGATGTGGCTTACAAAGTATTTCACTGAGAGTAGTCACTCTATTAATGCCTTTTTATGATTATTAATATATTCACACTTTTTTAGGCTGTATTCTGATTACTTGTACTTCATAAGCGCTAACAAATCTGTCGAGGACTTTCATGAAAAAGTAAAAGATTCACTGCAAATATTCGATGGATGTTTGATGCACTCTTCCCTTAGATCCTGTGTGTACAACTGCACCGTGAACTCTGCCATGCCTGTAAGTACTTTTTAATGACAGTCATTTAAAGAGCAAATGCCTCTGTCCATCAAAAGTGGATGTGCATTGATAAAACAAAATTATTTGTGATCCTTTGGCTGTCTTGTGGTGTAGGGGTAGTGCCTCTGCCTCTGAACTACAAGCTCTGGGTTTAAGTCCTACTCCAGGACTTGAATGGTCAAGGAAGGTGCCTTGACAATGTGGCCAAACTGCAAATTCTTCTGACCTACACCAGTAGTGGTAAGAGCGGGCAAAATTTCTTGTCAGCCAAGTGAAAATTGGAGCCTGAAACACAACTATCTATAGCTTTGCACGACAGCATGTGTGTGAAGTGCACGTTGCCACAGCAACTCTCACATCTTATGGTAGGGGGATGGGGAGTGTAGGCCAGTTGAGCGCTTGGATCAAATTGCCATCAGCGCAGAGCTCATTCTATTTGGGCACTGAATGACAATCCTGTCTTTGGAGAGAGAACTGAAGAAGAAGAATATTTTACTCAATGGTGCTGTGCTGAAGTCATTTTATTGCCTTCAACTAAATTAATTGTTATAGTTGAAAGGAAGACTGCAATTCTGAGCTTGTTGGTTAGGAATTGCAGCAATTCATACTGCCAATGCATTAAAGTTCCAGCCGCATAAGCTGAAAGAGGCACATAGAAAATCGATGGTAATGAAAGTTTCTGAAATGTTGTTATAGATAATGAGTGATTAACTTGATTGCTGTGATAGTTTCATTATTAATAGTTTTAATTACATGCTATGCAGCAACTTGCAAACATGGTATTTGCTCAAATTACCTTGGTACCACTTCCATCCATTTCATTTTGAGGTTCCATACCAAGGAAGCAGCAGGTCTTATAATGGCCAGTAACTCCTTGCCTCTGAGTCAGAAGCTTCAGGTTCAGATTGCTCCCCAAGGATGATGCCAAGGAAAGTGTGTTTTATAACAACGGCAAACAGATCAAGTATCAATCTATATATCATTTCAGTACATGCCAGTGGCAGGGTCTAAGAGCTGGAGAGATTCCTGGTCAGTCCTGTGATGGAACAAAATTGGAGCCACTACTACGGGGCTTTCCAAGTGGGGTCACAAGTCCTGAACTGACAGCGGCCGTCTGGAGTTCTGACTGAGTTCCAACAGCTGTACTCTCACTTTAACAAGCAGGCCCCTGTTCTCCTCGGTCTCCTACTCTCAGCCCCTCTTCTCTCCCTGAAGAGTCTTGACAATTTTCGAGCCTTGAGTTAGGAGTCACAGTTGGAATAAGTTTAGGAAATTTATTCCCAAATAGTAAACTTATTCCCTGTTATGGACTGGACCATCTGTCCTCAAAATCTATTAAGAAGATAGCCTAGACCCTAACCTTTCCTTATTTTATAGGCAAGTATAAGATGTTGCATTCCTGATGCCGTTCAATTTGTCAAACTACTCGATTTTTAAGTAAAACACTTTATTTTGACATTTACAGTTAGATAGATTTCACTGTAATCTATCAAAATGCTTAAAATAATATACATATTAACTACTAAACACACCCTTGGGAAAGGCAAATTCGGTAAAATAGATTGTCTCACGTGCAGTTCTGGTAGCAGGAAGAGAACCCCAGCTTTTAGGTGTAACAGAGAGGGGAATAAGAGCTTCTACATTCAGCTTCAGGACCCCAGCAGCTGCTGAAAGCTAAAATTAAAAATCCTAGTTCTTTGGGAGCTTGTCCCACCCATTCAGGCTGCTTCTATTGTTCGAATCTTTAAAAAAAAACCAAGCCGTCAAACTCTATTTACTTTATTGATCTTGAGCAGACTACTCATTACTTCTGTCTCAACCTTCTGTCATTTTTAAAAAAAGAACAAAATACACCTCTTAAAGCCATAGTATTATCACACTTTCCCCACCCCACAAAAAACCCCATCAATATACAAAGATGGCTTCGTTTTTAAAAACACTTTAGTCTACTCATTTAGTACACTACAGTACATATATGTTACATTGACTCTAAGCATGCAAACATTCACTCCTATAGTCCATTTCAGTTCGTTTTTCTCCTGCCATCAAATGCCTCCTTCTTCGTTCATCAAAGTCATGACAATGCGTTGGCAATTATGTTTTCTTGTCCTGCCAGGTATCTAATTTTCAAATTGAATGGCTGCAATACTAAGATCCATCTAAACAGTCTGGAATTTTTATCCCTAAAAACTTTCCTGAAACTTTAGGGGGTTATGATCAGTATATACAATTGTCTCAGGCACATTACTGACAATATAAATGTTGAAATGCTACACCACCAACACCAAACTTAATGTTTCTTTCTCAGTTGTGGAATATTTCTGATGATTATTCAATTTTCTGGAAAAGTATCCAATAGGTTTTTCTATCTTCTCGTCTTCTTGAAAAAAAAATAAAGCACCAACATCCACGTTAGGTAGGGTAGGCAATGGCCTAGTGGCATTATTGCTTGACTATTAATCCAGAGACCCAGGTAATGTTTTGGGGACCTGGGTTTGAATCCTGTCATGGCAGATGGTGGAATTTGAATTCAATAATAATCTGGAATTAAGAGTCTAATGATGACCGTGAATCCATTGCCCATTGTCAGGAAAATCGCATCTGGTTCACTAATGTCCTTGAGGGAAGGAAATCTGCCACCCTTACCTGGTCTGGCCTACATGTGACTTCAGACCCACAGCAACGTGGTTGACTCTTAGCTGCCCTCTGGCCAATTAGAGATGGGCAATAAATCCTGGTCTAGCCAGTGACGCCCATGTCCCATGAATGAATTAGAAAAAAAAATCACTTGCATCGATAGCCAGCTTGAATGGCTTTGCATAATTAGATGTGGCTAACACAAGGGCAATGGTTAACACAGCTTTCAGGCTGTCAAATGTCTTCTGACCTTCCTCAGTCCACTAACATTTTTTACATTTCAAGTCAGGCAGTGGAGCAACCATGCTGCTAAAATTTGGGAAAAACTTCTAATAAAAATCATTCAGTCCCAGGAATCGTAGTACTTCCCTATTTGTCAAAGGTATGGGGAATTCCCCAATAATCTCTGTTTTCACATCCCATGGTTCCAATTGGCATGTCCTAATAACTTAGCCCAGGAATGTTATTTGGGCTTTTGCGAATTCACTCTTAGCCAGGTTTATCATCAAGTCTGCCTCCCGAAGTCAATTGAGCAATTTCAATAGATGCTCCACATGTTCCTTCCACGTGTGACTAAAAGTCACCAGATCATCGATTTGGGTAATCCTGAAATGACTTTATTGATTTGTCTTCGAAATGTGACTGGCACATTTTTCATAATAAATGGCATGAATTTAAACTGGTACAGCCAATTTGGCATCACAAAATGAAATTTCCTTCACTCTTTCGGATAAACCTATCTGCCAGTATCCTCTGAGTAAATTCAACTTTGATATACAAGTTGCTTGTCCCACCTTCTCAATACAATCTTTCAAATGTAGAATAGGATATGACTCTGATTTTGTAACTGCTCAACTTTTTGAATGTGTGCCAATTTTAGCGGGTTACGTCAATAAGGATGTTTCTTAATTGGAACAGCATTTCCTGTATCTACGTCATACACAATCAGATTAGTGCATCCCAGCTTATTCCTACATATCTCCCTATGTGATTTGTAATAATTCTTTCAGGTCATTTTGATTTTCCTCTGAAAGGCCACTTAATAAGTTATCCCATTTTTTGAGAACTTCCTCATTCCAATTTAGTTTGAGCAATGTCCAACTCAGAATCATCCGAACTTGGTTCTTCACTCTGTGTTGTAAATTCTCTTTTTGCTTTCCTTCCCTACCAAAATACCTTTTGAGCATATTCACATGACACACACAGATTTCTTTTATTTGATAAGAATGCCAAATACATTCTCCTCAATCAATTTCCTTTCAATTTGATAAGGCCCATTCCACCTTGTCTACCTCTGGGAGTAACACTAACGCTTTATCTCGATTAGCAAAATTGCAAAGTTTTGATCTCTTGTCTGTTTCCTGTTTCATCATATGGTGTGCTATTTTCAAATGCTGTCCAGCCAACTCACTCACTATTTAGTCTTTCCCTAAAATTTGGCACACAGACCAAATATGAGGTCCCTGAACTCACCAATTTCTCCTCTAATTAGTTTCAGTGGTCCTCTCACCTCATGCCCAAAAACTAATTCAAATAGACTCAATTTAGTTGATTTCGTTAGTTGCATCTCTAATTGCTAACAATACAAGTGAAATTCCTTTATCCCAATTCTCTGGATGGTCTGACTATAAGCCCTCAAAATGGTCTTTAAAGTTTGATGCCACTGTTCTAATGCTCCCTGCGATTCTGCATAGTACACAATGGATTGAATTGATTTATTCCTAAGCTATCCATAACTTCCTTGAATAATTTTGATGTAAAATTTGACCCTTGATTCTATTGTATTTCTGTGTGTCATCCATAACTAATAAAAAAAAATGAGTAACCCTTCTAAAATCCTTTTAGCTGTGATTCTGCAAAATGGAATGGCCTCTGGAAATCTAGTAGACATAAGCATTATGGACAACAAATTCTGATTCCCACCTTTTTGTTTTAGGTAGGGGTCCTACGCAATCAATTAAGACTCTTGTGAAAGGTTCCTCAAATGCAGGAATGGGTGTAAAGGGTACTGGTTTTATCACTGCCTGAGGTTTTCCAAATACCTGACATGTCTGGCAAAAGTCAACCACATCCTTATGCAGTCCAAGCGAATAACAATGTTTTTTTGTGTTTTGGTTTGAGTTTTCTTTGCTCCCAAATGACCTACTACTGTAATTCATATGCTACCTGCAACACCTCCTTTCTGCAACCCACTGATAATACAACTTGATGAACTTCTGCCTATTTCTCATCTGCCTGACTATGTGATGGTCTCTATTTCCTCATCAAGACATTGTTTTTAAGATAGCAACATTCTGGGCTACACTCAGATTCTACTTCTGTGTACACTTTTTGATACAACTGCTTTAGTTTTTCCTCTCTGT